GTCTCGGATATAGTCATGATTACTGACGCCCGCTAGTGGGAGCTGTAAACGCTAGCACATGTCGACATGTATTTCTGTAGAACCGGTTCACCCTGCCTATGGGGTTAAACACTGGCACCATTACTGACGCCTGCCAATGGGAGTGTGTAAACACTAGCACTATTACTGACGCCTGCCAGTGGGAGTTGTAAACACTGGCACTATTACTGACGCCTGCCAGTGGGAGTTGTAAACACTGGCACTATTACTGACGCCTACCAGTGGGAGTTTGTAAACACTGGTACCATTACTGACGCCTACCAGTGGGAGTTTGTAAACACTGGTACCATTACTGACGCCTGCCAGTGGGAGTTTGTAAACACTGGCCATGACTTATGGATGAGACTACTGAACTGAGTTTTCTTCTGCATGTAACGGTTTGTCATGAAACGTTTTGTTATTGAACTAAATCCGATTTCCGCATTAATGGTTTATCATTAAAAGTCTGTTACGCTTATATGATTTATTTGGCATGCTTAAAAGTTTTACCCAAGGGCTATCCATATTTACTTACTGAGTTATCTCATAGTTTTTCCTTGTCCACCATTTCAGGAAGTGAAACCGAGGACGGGGAAACCACGGGAAGTGACGAGTTAGAATGCTAGCCATTTCGAGATTGATATAATTTAAGAAATAAATCATGTTTTTTGTAAGATAGATTTTACCTTGTGATTTTTAGTTTAAGTCATGCTGGACATAGATTTATGGAATATATTATCATTCTTGGGAGATAGATTGTACCTTGAATCTTATGGTATTAAAACAGATTTTGCGAGAATAGAGTTTGGGATTTGAATAAGTTCCGAGCCTTGTGCATTCGTGGGACCTGTTCACGGATGCACGGCGTCTGCCACGTCCTCGGATTTGGGTTCTGGGGCGTGACAATATTAATCTTATTTTTAAAAAAATTAGAATCTCAGATTTTATTTAGAAACTAAAATTTTAATACAAAATTTAAAATTTTACCATATTAAATGTTGGTATCTAAATTTGAAAATTAATTATATATTATAATGAAATCACTTTTCAAATCTAAATATTAATATTTAATAAGATAAATTTTTAATTTTTAAATTGAGTTTTAATTAGATAAAATAAGGTATTTAATTTAAATTTAGAACTTTAATTTATTTTAAAAATTAAAACTAATATGCATTTTTTTATTATATTTATTTAATATCATGTATCATATAATTATAAATTTATCATTTTAAGTGATAGTATTTTTTATATTAAACTTTCAAAATTTAAAAGTTATATTAGTATCAATTAATTTAAAATTAAATCACAATAAATCACATAAAAAAATTTAATATCTATTACTGTATTTATTAAATTTAAATTTAAAATTTTATTTAAATAATATATTTACCCAAATGTATAATTTTATTTTATTTAGACTTTATTTAAATAAAAAAATTGAATAATCAAATAACTGAAAAATTCCTTGTCATATAAGCATGATGCGGCAATATTTTGCCATCCAAGCAGCCAACCGGATGTGTCCCAAACGGCAGTAAAGCCAGGCGACGGAGTGCCAAACGGCAGTTCAGTTGGGTAAGAAGAAGGGCTTAATTGCTTTGATCCTAGAGTTCAAGGGCTTATATGCATCAATTAAAGTCTAGGGGCTTAATAGCGATTCTGGGGTTAGTTCAGGGGCTTAACTTATGGTTTTGCCAAAAAAAAAAAGATGAGATATATTTTTGGGGAGCAGTGCTAGGCACAGTCGGCCCCAGCACTCTCCAACCGACGCCTGCTTTATTTTTTTATTTTTGACTTACCGGCGCCTGCTTATTTATTGGCCATTTTACCATGCTTTTAAAGCAATAAAATGGCAACCAGTTGGAACCGAACTATAGGCGAAAATCCTTGGCCAGCCCTCCACCCTATTAATTATAAGAGTATCAGCCCCTCAACTTATCATATAAAAGTTTTAACCCCTACTTTACTAACTATGAAAGTATCAATCCCTCAACTTACATTATAAAAGTTTTAACCCCTCATCTTTTCAGTCTAAATAAAAAAACTCGAAATGAATGGCGACATTGTGTACTTGTTAAATTTCGTTATCCATTGCTATGTCAGCGCCAACATAACAATTCCTTGCCATCATGATTCCAAATTAGAAACACAGTTTTCCACACTGAATAAAATTGAGATACAATCCAAAAATCTGACTTAACCTATTCGTTATGAGTAAAGTTATGGATTTAAAACTCTAAAGTATCAATCCAAAATCAAATATAATGCAAACCAAAATTACCCAAACTTGATTAAGTTGGGTCAAAATTAAGTCACATCAATTCGAAGTGATACAACTAAAGTTAATTAATTTTTTTAAATTTAAATTTTTGATTAATTATACTTTTAATTTTAATTTTTAAGTATAAAATAAAATTAATTACTATAAAATGATTATTATTTATTAAATTATTAGTGTTACTATTAAGTTAAAAGATTTTTTGACTAAATAATTAATTAATATTAAATTTTGTTAAAGAAAAAT